TCCCTGCCCTTTTTCAGCTTACAGTCTGGTGGAAAAGAGAGGCATCCATTTAAAAACAAATTGCTCCCCAAAAAATGTAAGCATCAAAAAAAAATTTTTTTGAGTTGGAGTCTCACTCTGTCGTCCAGGCTGGAGTGCAGTGGCACGATCTAGGCTATGATACGCATTATTTCTATCTTTTCAACTTATAAGACATATCTGAGGTCTATTATTCCTTAAATTTGCAATGCTATATAACATTGTGCTTCATCGTTTTATTTTTTTGTTTTGTTTTGGGGTTTTTCTTTTGTTTTGTTTTGTTTGAGACGGAGTCTCGCTCTGTCACCCAGGCTGGAGTGCAGTGGTGCGATCTCGGCTCACTGCAAGCTCCGCCTCCCGGGTTCACGCCATTCTCCTGCCTCAGCCTCCCACGTAGCTGGGACTACAGGCACCCGCCACCACGCCTGGCTAATTTTTTGTATTTCTTTTTTTTAGTAGAGACGGGGTTTCATCGTGTTAGCCAGGATGGTCTCGATCTCCTGACCTCATGATCCACCCACCTCCGCCTCCCAAAGTGCTGGGATTACAGGCATGAGCCACCACGCCCGGCGTAAATGTTTTAAGTGGCACCATTACCTGCAGGAACAGCATAGGTGAAGTACAGTGTTAAGGATCAGAAATGGGTGCACAATTCTTTACTAAGAAGTCTGAGTTCAGCTGACTCCGGTGCTGAGTGCTGTAGGAACATGGGTAAACAAGGAGCACTTGGCCATTGCTTTCAAGGTGCCAGGGGCCCTAAGGCTAGTATCTGAGGCAGGACATAGAAGACTGAGTCTTAGCAGCCTGAGCAGAGTCCAGAGGGAGGCCTATGTGGAGGCAGAAGGATCAATGAGATCAGTGTAGGTTCAAACCATAGTGAGGTGTATAATGAAAGTGCTGCTTGACCAAGCATGGGGGACGCATGCCTATAATCCCAGCACTTTAGGAGGCCAAGGCAGGAGGACTGCTTGAACCTAGGATTTTGAGTCTAGCCCAGGCAACAACAAAGCGAAATCCAGTCTCTACAAAAATCAGAGAGGTGTGGTGGTGTGGTGTGCACCTGTAGTCCCAGCTACTGGGGAGGCTGAGGTAGGACAATTGCTTGAGCCCAGAAGGTCGAGGCTGCAGTGAATTGTGATCACACCACTGTACTCCAACCTGGGTGACAAAGTAAGACCCTGTCTCAAAAACAAAAATTAGTGGCAGGCCAGGCACGGTGGCTCATACCTGTAATCCCAGCACTTTGGGAGTTCGAGCCAGATGAATCACCTGAGGTCAGTAGTTTGAGACCAGCCTGGTCAATATAGCAAAACCCCACTTCTACTAAAAACACAAAAATTAGCTGGGCGTGGTGGCGCATGCCTGTAGTCCCAACTACTCAGGAGGCTGAGGCAGGGGAATCACCTGAACCCAGGAAGCAGAGGTTACGGTGAGCCAAGATCACGCCACTGCACTCCAGCCTGGGTAACAGAGTGAGACTCCATCTCAAAAGAAAAAAGAAAAGAAAGTGGACATTACCCGCATCTGCTAAATGATAGAGCATGGAACAGGAATGGACTTACAACATCGTCTTTCATCATGAATAGGAAGGAGGAGTATTCTTTCATGAAACATGCTATAATTGTGTATATGTATGTTTAGCTACATGGTGTGCATGTATGTATACCTATGTGTGCGGAGGGGGTCACAATATAAATTGTACTTGTACTGTCCATCTGGATCACACAAATTTTGAAAAAGATCAGAGGACAGGGCCAGGTGTGATGGCTCATGCCTGTAATCCTAGCACTCTGGGAGGCCAAACAGGTGGATTACCTGAGCTCAGGAGTTCAAGACCAGCCTGGGCAACACGGTGAAACTCCGTCTCTACTAAAATACAAAAAAACTAGCCGGGTGTGGTGGCATGCACCTGTAGTCCCAGCTACTCGGGAAGCTGAGGCAGGAGAATTGCTTGAACCCAGGAGGCGGAGGTTGCAATGAGCCAAGATCACGCCACTGCAGTGCAGCCTGGGCGACACAGTGAGACTCTTGTCTCCAAAAAAAAAAAAAAATCAGAGTACAAGACCTTTCATGGTCTCGTGCAGCCCAGAATGTTACAAAAAAATGACTATTCTGCCCCCATAAGGCTGACAGAAATGCCTCTCTCACAGAAACTGGAACCTCAGTAGAGCCTCTCTGATGAGACAATGTGAATTCTGAAAAGTAATTAAAACCCTAACCGCAAACACTCACTGTCAGGTATTGTGGGGGCATAAATGGGTACAAACTTTCTGGAAAGCAATATGACAATGTTCACCACAATTCTTAAAATATGTGTTTTGTTTTTGTTTTTGTTTTTGTCTTTTGTTTTTGAGACAGTCTCACTGTCACCCAGGCTAGAGTGCAGCGTCATGATCTTGGCTCACTGCAACCTCCACCTCCCAGGTTCAAGAGATTCTCCTGCCTCAGCCTCTCAAGTAGCTGGGATTACAGGTGTGTGCCACAACGCCCAGCTAAAGTTTTGTGTTTTTAGTAGAGACAGGGTTTCACTATATTGGTCAGGCTGGTCTCAAACTCCTGACCTCAGGTGATCCACCGGCGTCAGCCTCCTAAAGTGCTGGGATTACAGGTGTGAGCCACCGCGTCTGGCCAAAATATGCAAATGTTTTCCTGCAAGACTCCTCTCCTATGAATTCACTCTAAAAGAATAGCCACAGGGGTCCCCAAAGACAACACTCAGGGGTACTCAGGCAGCATTGCTTATGATAGGAAAAGTATGGATATAACTCAAATTTCCAAAAATAGGAGATTGGTTGGATAAATTGTGTTAGTATTCAGGCATTAAAAATAAGAAGTGAATGCATTTATTGACAAAGGAAGATGTTTATGATATAACATTGTAATTTGGTGCAATTTATTTTTAAGAGAGGATCTCACTCTGTGGCCCAGGCTGGCGTTCAGTGGTACCATCTCAGCTCACTGCAGCCTTGCCACCTCCAGGACTCAAGCAATCCTTCCACTCCAGCCTCCCAAGTAGCTAGGACTACAGGTGCATGCCACCACACCCAGCTATTTTCTTTTCTTTTTTTTTGGTAGAGGTAGAGTCTTGTTATGTTGCCCAGGCTGGTCTCAAACTCCTGGGTTCAAGCAATTCTTCCACCTTGGCCTCCCAAAGTGTTGGGATTACAGGTGTGAGCCACCATGCCTGGCCTGCAATTTTTTTTTAAAGAGAGAAAACTGCCATCTGCTTCTCACTGTGGGTAAAGAGAGAAAGTCACCTTTGGAGTAGATTTTGTATGTACTGAGTGACTGAGAGGCCCCTCCCTGTCAGCCACACTCATGTTCGGTGAGTCAGCACCATTGTGCTAGAGGTAAAGAGTAGCATCACCTTTACAGCTCATCAGCCAGGAGTGATTGTGCCTCCCTGGGGACGTTTTGAAATATCTAGGGATATTTCCGTATGTCATGACTTTGAGTTGGGGGATGTTACTGGTATCTCATGGGCAGAGGTCAAGGATGCTTCTAACCAAACATCCTTCAAGGCATAAAGACAGCCCCCAGTGCATGGTCCGCCCCCCACTTTATTTTTGAGACAGGATCTTGCTCTGTCACCCAGGCTGGAGTGCAGCAGTGTGATCACGGCTCACCGCAGCCTCAATCAATGTCCTGGGCTCAAGTGATCCACCAGCCTCAGTCTCCCGAGTAGCTGGGACTACAGGTGTGTGCCACCACACACGGCACTTTTTTTTTGTATTTTTTGTAGAGATGGGGTTTCACCATTTGCCCAGCCTGGTCTGGCATTCCTGAACTCAAGAGATCCTCCTGCCTTGGCCTCCCAAAGTGCTGGGATTATAGGCTATGAGCCAGTGTACCCAGCTGCATGATCCCTTTTGATGCTGACTGGACCTGAATCAGGATCTGCCAGCAAGAAAAAAATACAGAAGGGCACGCATGGAGGACTAGGCCAATGACCTGTTTCAAGTATGTTCTGTTTTATTCACTGCTGCCTCCTCAGCCCTGCTGGCACCCCATAGCCACTCAGATTAGAAGACTTCTCCAGGTCTAGAACAATATTCAACAAATGCTTGTTGAATAGAGCAGGTTGAATCAAGCAAGGGCATCCGTGAGCCTCCACCTGCCTCTGCCCGACTGATGCTCAACAGTGACACCTTGTGGTGGGAACTGAAACAACCGTGCTGATGGTCACTAACACTTCTCCGTGGCTGGCGTTTGCAGAGCGCATCCCTTGGGACAGAAAGGCCCCAGAATTTGCAGATAAATCATGAGGCTAGAGAGAAGCAGGGAGCCTCAGGAAGATGATATTTGATGTTCTGCTAATAAAGACAAATGGGTATCTGAGCAATTAATGGAAAACATCCAGGAGGGATGACAATATATTGGCCCCCAAACTGATACAAGTCACAGAGGTTATTTTATTAGGTGAAGAAAAAAATTTTAAGCAATATGTATGGATAATTCTAATTCTATTTTTTAAAGTAAACGTATATCCATTTGTCAGGAAAAATTATACCAAAAATGATAACAGCAGTTACCTAGAGGGTAGGGCTTAGGGCGATTTTTTAAAAAATCTATTTTCTGGTTTATGTTACAATGAATGCAAATCACTTCTGTAAAAAAAAAAAAAAATAGAAGCTAGACATTGACCCAAAATGCAAAGGCACTTCAACATGTCTAAAGTAAAAAGAACCTGGTCTCCTACACACACTCAACATTTTCATGTCCGGACCCTAATTATCCAGCACCAGATACCCTAAACCTCAGCAGGCCGTCCTGGGGCAAGAGTTCAAACCCAAAAACTGCCCTTGTCGGCGTCTTCCGGCCTCCAAATCCCAGGTCCATGCTGCCTCTTCCTGCGTGCCACATTTGCCCCCCAGGGTTGACTGTCTCGTCCTGGCCTGCAGTGGCAGGCACAGGATGCCGAGGGACCATGGCAGCTGTTCTGGGGACAAGTCTCCACATCCCCGGCCCCAGGGCCTGCTCACCTGACATGTGGACATTCCTGAGGCAGGAGAGGGAGGCATTGAGGCGGGCACACTCCTCCCGGTTGGCTCCGTATTTCTCCACAGTCTCGCACACCTGTTCATCCGTCATCTCCAAGAGGTCCTCCAGGCTCAGCTGGCCCGGGGAGATTTCCTAGGGGAGGGGAGAGAGGATTGTCAACGGCGGGGCAGGAACAGCATCTCTGCCTCCAGCCCGCCCTCTAGTGGTGCCTAGAGGAGAACACTCCGCCGTGCAAACGCTTTGCACAACAGTGGGGTCTCCGAATCTCTGGTTTGCCACTCATTAGCTAGATAATCTCTGACCAGTCACTCAACCTCTCTGGGCCTCACTTTACTCATCTATAAAGTGGGACTCCTAAGTGTTCACACTTGGCAAGGTGGCGCAGGTGCTTTGTGCTATTATAATTACTGCCCTGTCTGGCGTCAACACTGTGCCTGTCTCTTGAATGTTTATAAGGCAGGCCCCATTTTTTCATATTCGCATGGCTCCCAGTGCCTCCTGCTCTGCGGGGACTCATCTGAAATCCCAGCACACACTCAGAGCAAGCACAGGAAAAGGCAGGTGCGCTGATGGCTGGGCCCCACTCTGCTTCCTTTCTTCTCTGGCTGCAGAGTCCAGGCCTCACACTGGTCTTCAGAAAACCTAATGGGAAAGGGATTGCAGGTTCGTGCTCCATGCTGGAAATGAAACTAGGTTTGTTTTTGAGCCCCATGGGGCATGGCTTTGCATCCTAAGGCAAAGCAGAAACGCTGGAGTGTAGCGTGGAGTTGGGGAAAGGGACCTGGAAAAGGTAGGATTCTCAACTTAATGTGCTGGGCAAGTGAACTTTCACCGCCACCCCATCTTCCCAAAACAGTGTCTCCCTAGACACCATCATAAGGAGACACCTCAAAATTTGTCAAGCTTCTACATTTATGCATATATATCTGTATGTATATATGAGTCTTCTTTTATAGCACTTACTACTCAACATCTTAACATATATTATTACTTAAGTAAAGGTTTTTTGTTTTTTGTTTTTGAGACAGAATCTCACTCTTGTCTGCCAGGCTAGAGTGCAACGGCACGATCTTAGCTCACTGCAACCTCCGCCTCCTGGGTTCAAGCGATTCTCCTGCCTCAGCCTCCTAAGTAGCTGGGATTACAGCCACCAACCACCACACCTGGCTAATTTTTGTATTTTAAGTAGAGACGGGGTTTCACCATGTTGGCCAGGCTGGTCTCAAACTCCCGACCTCAGGTGATCCGCCCACCTCAGCCTCCCAAAGTAAATAAGGGTGAAATAGCATACGGATGGTGATTCTAGGGCAGTATTGCAGAATACATCTACCCTCTTGTGGTCATGTTTGTGTATTACATGTTTGTGTATTACAACAAGATACAGCTCCCACATTAAACTGAGAGCCAGAAAGAAGAAAACTGTCTCAGCACAAAAAATTATCTTCAAAAATATGAGCTATGGCGCAAAAGTCGAAGCCCAATCAGTGCCTTTTCAACTCACCAGGGCAGGCAGGGGGCAGAGAGAGAACAATAGTGGAGCCACTTAGAGGCTTTCTCAAATAGGGACACATTGCAGATGAGCCCCTTTAAGAAAGGTGATGATCAAGGACCTGTTTGTTTCTGGTTGTTGTTTTTCTTAAACAGAGACAGGGGCTCACTCTGTCACCCAGGCTGGGGTGCACTGGTGCCATCGTATCTCACTGCAGCCTCAAACTCCCGGGTTCAAGCGACCCCCCCCCCCCACCTCAGTCTCCTGAGTAGCTGGGACTACAGGCCTGCACCACCATGCCTGGCTAATTTTTAAATTTTTTGTAGAGGTAGGATCTCACTACGTTGCCCAGGCTGGTTTCGAATTCCTGGCCTCAAGCGATCCTCCCACCTCGGTTTCCAAAAGTGTTGAGATTACGGACATGAGCCATTGCACCCGGTCTAGGATCTGAAGGTACAGAATGACTCACATTTGAAGGGGGTGATTCATAACATAAAAGGATTCTCCTCTTTGATTCAGGATTCACTTGTGCATTTTAACCTTATGATTTACATATATATAATTTCAATTTACTCTGAAGTTTAAGATCACAAAAAAAATCATAAAAGTAACATTTTTATAACATCAAAAATGGAGAAACTCTTAACAATCTGGGCCAAAAGGGCAGACACACCTCTGTTTGATAAAATAATAGTAGTAACAATAGCTGAAATGGATGGAACACTGTTTTAAGGTTTCTGATAGATTTCCTTTATTATCACAAAGATTACTGAAAGTAGGCACTTTAATCACCACCACCTAGAGACTAGGACAGTAAAATTCAGAGAGGTTAGACCACTTGCCTAAGGTCACACAGCAAGTAATTGGTGGAGCCAGGATTCGAACCCAGCGGTTTTACTTTGGAGCTTTCTCCATACTTCAGTCACTTCACAGAAAGGGGACCTCTGGTGGACATATACCTGAACTGCAGACAAAGAGCAGAAACCCCTCGTCTTCTCCCGCCCACTCCCTGGGTGGTGACCTTGGACTCAAGATGCTCACTGACTAAGGCAATAGCCAAAACTCAGGTACCTGCAGGCCAGGTAAATGTAAATGAGCAAGTCGCTGCCCGACAGGAGCTCAGTTCCATGGTCAACATTTCTGATTTTGTGAGTGAAGCCAGAGATCTGGGATTTTTAGGCAGACTCTTTTGGTTTTTAAGTATTGGCTCAAAATAAATGTCCTGGCATCATGTTAGCCAAACAACAACTACAAAAATGTCTGCATAGCTGATCCAGCTTGAGGGCCACCAGTTTTCAGCCCCTGGTCTAGAATCGTTTCTGCCTTATTTGCCCCCACAAGTAGCACTTGATAGATAAATGATCCTGAAGCCTCCCAAAAAAATTCCCTGAGCCGTGCAAACACAACGCCATCTGTCCTTATACAGGACCATTCATTCTAAGGATATTTGCAAGAAACTCATCTGGGTTCTCTGGCCATGCTGAGAATGAAATAAGGAAATATGGAATTGCGCATGGTCTGATGTGCATATGCAAGATGGGGTGGGGTAGGGGCCTGGAGGAATGGAGCGGGGTGATGCCGCATCTGACTCGGGATTCTTAGATCTGGTGGGGCTGGGTGAGATTCTTGTCCCTGCGGACAAGGTCTAAAAAAGACAGGAAGCCTCTTCAAGCAGGAGGCAGGGAGCGCCTTGAGAGAGGACTCTTGGTTTCACTGGCAGAGGGCCAAGCTCCTCTTCTGCCCAGTTTAGGGAGCCCCAGGCAACAGGAAAACAAGGCTAAGGCACAGTCCTTCCAACCTAAAGCTTTGCTGTCCATCTGAGCTGGACATCCTGCTAGCCCCATCCACTTACCAGCTAGACTAGTCACTTAGCTCTGAGCCTCAGTTTCCCGCTCTGTACAAGGGGGATAACAGTCACACCTACTCAAAAGGTCATTGCAAGGAGGCTGAACAGTCTCAGCAGTTGAGATCCTAAGTGCAAAGCCCTTAGCACAATGCCTAGCATGAAAGATGCAGTGATGTCCGCTGGTTTTATTAGGTTTGGCTTGGCCCTGTCACTGCAAATGGATCAGTCTCTGAGATCCCGGGGGGTAAGAAAATCTCACTATCCTCAAGATGTTAAGAACGTAGTCCAATCTTTGAGGGTGGACATAAGATGGCAGATGCTCACAGCAGTAATAGCCTGGCATCTACTGAATGCTATTTGGTGCCAGAATATGAGCTAAAGCCTTTTTTTCTTTATTTTTTTTGAGGCAGAATCTTGTACCGTCACCCAGGCTGGAATGCAGTGGTGCAATCTCAGCTCACTGCAATGTCTGCCTCCTGGGTTCAAGCAATTCTCCTGCCTCAGCCTCCCGAGTAGCTGGGACTACAGGTGTGCACCACCACACCTGGCTGAATTTTGTATTTTTAGTAGAGACGTGGTTTCACCATGTTGGCCTGGTCTCGAACTCCTGACCTCAAGCGATTCGCCCACTTCAGCCTCCCAAAGTGCTGGGATTACAGGCATGAACCACCACCACCGCACCTGGCCTTTCTTTTCTTTTCTTCTTCTTTTTTTTTTTTTTTTTTTTTTTGAGACAGGGTCTTACTCTGTCACCCAGGCTGGAGTGCATGATCACAGCTCACTGTAGCCTCAACCTCCTGGGCTCAGGTGATCCTCCTGCCTCAGCCTCCCAAGTAGCTGGGACCACAGGCACGCACCACCACATCTGGCTAATTTTTGTATTTTTGTAGAGGTTTCACCATGTTGCCCAGGTTGGTCCCAAACTTCTGTGCTCAAGCAATCCATCTGCCTTGGCCTCCCAAAGTGCTGAGATTACAGGCATGAGCCACTGTGCCCAGCTGAGTTGAACACTGTATAAAAATCATCTCATTCTATGATGTTGGCTATTTAAGAAGAGATGACAATCATTATGCACATTTCACAGATGAGAATATTAATGCTCTAAGACAGTATTGTTCAATATGGCTTCCACGGGCCCCATTAATTAATGTCAAACACAATTTAAAATTCAGTTCCTTAATCACATGTCCTAACCACAAGCGGCTACCACATCCGGCAGCACAGATAGAAAATATTCCCATCGTAGCAGAAAGTTCCACTGGACAGCGCTGGACTAAGAGGTGAAGTGATTTAGCTAAGGTGACTCTGTGAATGTGTGGCAGAGCTGAAGGGTTCTGACTGACTCGGGAAGCACACTCTCAATGACCCCATTCAGACAGCACCAGTCATCCTGAATGTTTTCGTCCAGCACATATTTATTAAAAGCCTGCTATGTGCCAGGGACTGTGCTGTGCACAGCCAGAAACCTGCAGCCCAAGAGCAACCCAGGGGGTAGCTGCTGGCCAGTAAGGGGCAGGGGACACAGGGGCCCCCCAGGTCACCTCCAGGACTTCCTTGCGCACATCGACGATCCGGAACCAGTGCCGTAGCTGGGGGAAGCCATCCAGCTCCGCGTTGCGCTCCTGCAAGGCCACCTTCTTTTTGCAGGACAGCTGCCGGCTGAAGTACTTCACCAGCTTGCTCTGTGGAGACACAGACAAGGACAGAGGACACATCTCAGAGGCACTGACACAAGGAAGAGAAACAAGAATCCCCTACGAACCCCCACCCTAAACCCAGCCAACTCTGTACTTTAAAGACTGGTTCCGCTACAGTGAGATCCAGGTTGGCACCCATCTTTCTACCTCGTTGGTGAAGAAACAGGCGGCTCTAGCATCTGGCTTGGGGTTGGGGGAGGTGGAGCACATTGGTACCACTTCAGTGGAGGGCCTTTTGATCGCATCCATTGACACCTCAATTGCACACATCTTTTTCTGTTTTTGTTTTCTTTTGTTTTGAGATGGAATTTCACTCTTTCACCCAGGTTGGAGTGCAATGGCGTGATCTCTGCTCACTGTAACCTCCGCCTCCCAAGTTCAAGCATTCTCCAGCCTCAGCCTCCTGAGTAACTGGGATTACAGGTGTGCACCACCATGCCTGGCTAATTTTTGTATTTTTAGTACAGACGGGGTTTTACCACGTTGGTCAGGCTGGTCTCAAACTCGTGGCCTCAGGTGATCCGCCCACCTCGGCCTCCCAAAGTGCTGGGATTACAGGGGTGAGCCACCGCACCTGGCCTGCACACATCCTTTGATCCAACAATTCCCCCTGCAGGAACTCCTCCAACAGACACCCATACTGTGCAGAATGACTGTACAAGGTTACTTCCTTATAGTTCTGTTTGCAACAGCAAAGGACTGCAAACATTCTGAGAGTCCATCAGTAGGAGACTCATTACATAAATGACGCTATAGCCAACAAAGAAACTTATGCAGCTCTAAAATCAAACCACGAAGCAGGCTCTGTACTGACAGAGAACAATCTCCAGGGTACACTGATAAATAAAAATAAATACTCTCCCATTCATAAGGAAAACGTTTCCCTGTATATATCTTTGTAAATGTAGAAACTCTGTCCACAAGGACTCCCAATTCTTCACTTTTTTTTTTTTTTTTTTTTTTAGACAGAGTCTCACTCTGTTGCCCAGGCTGGAGTGCAGTGGCACGACCTCAGCTTACTGCAAGCTCTGCCTCCCAGGTTCACGCCATTCTCCTGCCTCAGCCTCCCAAGTAACTGGGACTGCAGGCGCCTGCCACCATGTCCAGCTAATTTTTTGTATGTTTAGTAGAGACGGGGTTTCACCGTGTTAGCCAGGATGGTCTCAATCTCCTGACCTCGGGATTTGCTCGCCTCGGCCTCCCAAAGTGCTGGGATTACAGGGGTGAGCCACCGCACCTGGCCAAGGACTCCCAATTCTTTAGGGGACGGAAGAGGAAGGTGGGGAAAAAGAGTCAGGAAAACATTTTATTTAAACTCTTTTGTGTTGTTTGAATTGTAAGTCCTACAGAAACATCCAAAAATTAATTCTTTTAAAATGAGACAGACTTGAACCCAGGCTTCTGAAGAGATCCCATGACATGAGAAAAGAAAGTTTTTTATTGCTGGGTTTGTAAAATCTCACAATATTAACCAAAGAAAGACAATACTTGTGTGTCTGAGCAGAGAAAACAATTTGGAAGAATAAACTCCAGGCCTCTGACTTGGGTCAAGTATTTCTTTATATACATTTTTTGTATGCATTCAGTAGTTACCCAAGGTATAATACATTATCATCTTTTTTTTTTTTTTTTTTTTTTAAAGAGACAAGGTCTTTTTCCATTGCCCAGGCTGGAGTGCAGTGATGCAATCATAGCTCACTGCAGCCTCGAACTCCCTGGCTCAAGAGATCCTCCTGCCTCAGCCTCCCAAGTAGCTAGGACTACAGGTGAGTGCCACCAAACCCAGCCTATATTATCATCTTTGTAATTTAAAATGTATTTAATAAAGATAATTAAATAGAACAAAATTAGAATTCGGTATGGAGGTGTCTGTGGCATTTCAAAACAGTCAGCCAACATTTATCAAGAACAAAGTCTGAATTCTAGGATCAAAAAATTCAGAGGGCCAGATGCCATGGCTCACACCTGTAACCCCAGCACTTTGGGAGGCCAACGCGGGAGGACTGCTTGAGCCCAGGAGTTTGAGACCAACCTGGGCAATGTGGTGAAACCCTGTTTCTACAAAAAAAAAAAAAAAAAAAAAAAAAAAAATCCTCACTCAGGAGGCTGAGGTGGGAGGATCACCTGAGCCCAGGAGGTGGAGGCTGCAGTGAGCCATGATCATACCACTACACTCAAGGCTAGCTGACAGAGTGAGACCATCACTCAAAACAAAACAAAGCCAAACTTGGAGCCTGGGATGGCTGTCATGGGCTTCTGTTGCTTTTGCTACCTGGTCTCCATTTCCCCTTTTACTGAAAAGAACACATCAACTTTCTTTCAAGGAACCTCCCTTCTTTGGCCCGCAGTCTATCCAGCTGATGTGAGGCTGTTCCCATTGCATCACCTCATCACAGCTGCAGGGTGGGCACGTAACCCAGGCCCCATCAAACAGCCATACTTGGGTCAAGGGCAATCACGGATCCAGCTGGGCCACTGAGACCCCACCAGGACCTCTTTTAAGCACTCAGGACATAGCCATAGCACACCCTCCAGGGCTGCCAGGTGGTGTCATGGAAGACAGGAGCTGCCTGGGCCGTCGTCCCTGCTGCCATCTGGGAGCCTCCTGACACTGAAGCCCATTTGGAAGACAGCAGAGCCAAGAGATGGAGTCACATTCCCGGCCATAGCCATCATCTGAGCCCCAGCAGTGAGCAGAGAAACCAGATCTCCCTGGACTCTGCAGTGATGCGCGCCAATAAATTCTCTTCTTTTCCTTAAGCTGCAGTGAGCTGGATTTCTGTCGCTAAAGCCTCCTGACTCATAGGGAAATTAAAGAACATGGAGTCCACCTCCTTGAGGGAGTCTTGGCATCCCTGGTATACTGGTTTCCTGTGGCTGCTGTCATGAATAACCACATACTAAGTGGCTAAAAACAGCATAAACACACTGATCTCGCAGTTCTGGAGATCAAAAGTCCTAAATGAGTCTCATGGAGCTAAAGTCAAGGTATCAACAGGGCTGGTTACTTCTGGAGGCTCCAGGCAAGAATCAGTTTCCTTCCCTTTTCAGTGATAGAGGCCGCCTGCATGCTTGGCTTCTGGTCCCTTCCCCACATCACTCCAACCACTTCCTCCATCACCACATCTGCTGCTACTGCCTCTTATCCTCCTGCTTCCCTCTTATACAGACCCTTGCAATGATCTGGGACCCACCCAGACAACCCAGGGCAATCTCTCCATTTAAAGATCCTTATCTTACATCTGCAAAGTCCTTTTTCCCATGTATGGTCACACAATCACAACTTCTGGGGATTAGGAGGTAGAAATTATTGGGGGACTGTTATTTAGCCCACCACACCTGTGCACTTACCCGGGCAAGTGGTTCAACTCTACCTGGAGGAGAGGGGAGGGGCTGAGGAAAGGCAGCCCCAGCAGAGGTCAGGGCCCATGAGACGACCATCCAAGAAGAGCATCAGAAATAGCAATGGCCCAGTGAAGTTGGGAGATTAGGTAAATACAGAAAATTGAGCAAATAAACAAATCTATTGAGCATTATTGTTCTTCCTGTCTGAGAAGAGTGACACAGATGTGGGATGGGAAAAGCTAGACTAAATCCTGTGGTATTGGTTTGGGAAGAGTTACTCCATACATATAGATATAAATGTTGATGTAAATGTGTGTGTATATGTATACATATATGCACTGCACACACACACACACATATATATATAGCCTAGATTGTCCACGGAAGGGACTCAGATTTACTCCAAAAGGTGAGTTCTGGGCTACATTAGTTTACAAGGACTGCTGTAACAAAGTACCACAAGTTGGATGGTTCAAACAGAAAATATTTCCAGTGTCACAGTTCTGGAGGCTAGAAGTTTGAAATCAAGGTGTCGGTGGGGCCATGCTCCCCCTGAAGGCACTGGGAAAGGCCCTGTGACAGGCCTCTCTCCTCGCTTCTGAGAATCCCGTGGCTTGTGGCAGCCAAACTTCAGTCTTCACATAGCATTCTCCCTGTATGTGTGACTGTGTCCAAATTTTCCCTTTTTACAAGGACACCAGTCATATTGGACTAGTATGAACTCACCTAAACTAATTACATCTGCAACAACCCTATTTCCATATAAGGTCGTATTCTGAGACATTGAGGATTAGGATTTCAACGTATGAATCTTGGGGTATCACAACTGGAACCAGAACACGGACCTTTGAAACACAAAAGCAAGAGTGACCCCCTGACCACCCCAGTCTGACCATCTGTCTGCAAAGACACTGCATTCATCCTAGATCAGGGACCTGGGTAACACAGCGAGACTCCATCTCAAAAACATAACAATAATAATTAATTTAAAAAATAAAATAAAAAACTAATCAGGTTTCAATTACTAAACATTCTTTAAAAGCCCAATATATCATTTATCTAGTGTTTTTTTCAGTACAGGTTACCGTTATACTGCAAGAGAATGCACTTTTATTCGGACAGAAAGCTGTGTCTTCCTAATTTGTAATTTAAGTTCTGATTTTGAAATTAGTAGAGTTTAATTTAATCCATCCTATTTATAGAAATTATGTGAAACATACACAAACTTACATCATTGGCAATATCTGCAAATCGGGCTTTGTACCAAGTGGTTTTCCTCAGCCTTTTCTTCTGAATAAATGAGGTTTCACTGTTCATTATTCTATATCTATGTATGCCTATGTTGTATTTCAAATATTGCAAAAGAAATAAGGATCTGGCCCCTTTAAAAAATAATAATAAATGAGCATGATTTATCAATTTCTTCCCTTCCCTTCCCTGCCTTCCCTTCCCTCCCCTCCCCTCCTCTCTTCTCTTCTCTTCTTTACTGAGACAGGGTCTCACCATGTTACCCAGGCTGGTCTCGAACTCCTGGACCCAAGCAATCCATTCACTTCGGCCTCCCAAGATGCTGGAACTACAGGTGTGAGCCACCGTGCCCAGCCTCAATTTGTTAAACAAAAGAGATAATGTCAACTGGG